AACGTTAACTAGTTAATCGATTTATTTTAGTTTGTGGAGGAACTCTAACATCGATTGAAGGGTATTTTGCTTCGCCAGGTTACCCAAAAAAATACCCAATAGACACCGAATGCGAATGGACGATTGATATAACAGAAGGTAATCACGTTTCACTCAGTTTTAGCTACTTCGAATTAGTAGAATCAGATCACTGTAATACTGACTATTTGGAAGTAAGACAAAACAATGGTACTGGAAAGCTTTTGGGTACTTTTTGTGGAAGTGATCKACCAACTAATATCACGAATGAAGGAAGTTTGTGGATATTTTTGAAAACAAGTCGTTCGGATGGTCAAGTCAAAGGTTTTTACGCCGAGTACATATTAAGTATGTAATTTAATTATSTTTWGCTTGTTYTYAATAATTTTTTAGACCATGAAAAYGAACTAAGTGGTCCAAAAGGCCGAATAGTTTCGCCTCTMTATTATCAAAACTTTCCGTTTTATGGAGACTTCTCCTGGAGGATAACTGTGAATTTTGGAAAACGMATAATGTTGACATTTAAAGACATTCTCTTAGAAAATGGAGATAGCATGTGTTTTTCTTCAATATATGTAAGATTAATGTGAAAAATTGGTTAGGTCTCAATAAATTTTGTAGATTTATGACGGTTCMACTKTAGAGTCACCAAGWCTTGGTGAATTTTGYGGYACTACAATTCCAGACTCTGTGAAAAGTACATCTAACATTGTTCTTATTAAATTYAGTGGTTATAGTACATCRRGAWCACTGACTAAATTTATCATAGAATGGTTGGAAACAGCATCAGTTGTTAGTAACAAAARACCAACATCTAAACGTAATTATAAATAAAAACTGATTCAAYTGAAAAACGYTCAATTGTAGCAAATGGATGTGGTACAAAAGAACCAATCGCYATAAACGAATTGAGGAATTAYACTACAATCACATCTCCTGGTTTTCCAAATGGATATGCACCTWATCTTCRATGCGAATGGATTTTTACCACAATYCCAATGAACAGTTTAAKAATTTACTTTAGAGAAATGGATCTRCAACTAACTTATGGAGGTTGTTATGCTGATTATGTGGAAGTTTTCGAAAAGAGACTAGATAAAGATTGGACTTCAGTGCTTAAAACGTGCTTCAGCAATATTACTTCTAATTCTGGAATCTATACTRCAAATATGATGAAAGTTRTTTTCAAGTCTGATSGATTTGGAAACAGAACAGGCTTCTCCGCAATTATCAGAGAGAGTAAGTTTTAACATTAATTTGTTAWGATTAAACTAAGTGAAGGGTTATAGGCTGCGGAGGTACTTTGACGGCCCCGACTGATTATATCATTTACAACAACAATTCAAGAAGCACTTATAGTTATCTAAGAACATACAA